TTGAAATTGTGGAATTTTACGAAAAGACTGCGAAAAACAATGTTTTGATATGAGTTTTTCATTAATTGCTTACACCACAAATTGTTTCTTAAGACCTGCAAAGACACTATTTTCAGAAGTAAAAAAGATTTGAACAGAGCCATATCATGAATGTTCTGTAGGCTAGTATTAATTTGTAGTGAAGCAACCAAAGAAGCATATGCTGATTTAGCCATTGGCTTTCTAAATTTTTAGCAACTGTTTTAAGTACGCACTTTATTGATACATCATAATTTAGAAGTATTCCTCTGTCAAAAATTCATTCTAGTAAGCTACTTTTGAAAAGTAAGATTTGAAGAGGCCCTTTTATTTGGAATTAATGTTACTTAGTGATGGAATGAAATTATTGAAATTTCATACTTTCTGTGACCATATGTATCATAGCATTGGAAAAGAGAAGCACAAAAAAATACTTACTTGATTTAATTAAAGCAACTTAAAGAATACTGCCTTAATCAAAAGACTCAGTTTTGTGCCTTTTTTTTATTCTGTAAACAAGAGATAATCAATCTTTAGAACTTTTGAAGAAAAATCAACTACATAAAAACCAACTACATACCTATAAAATACAATTACAACCTTAATTTTTAAAATATAAAAAAATTAATTAGATAAAAATTCTAAAAATAGTTAAAAAAATCAGTAACTACAAATTACTAGATATAAGAAACAGATTAAAATCTGCTGTTATCAAAGGGATCGTCATAATTTTTATACCTTTGGAGGCTCAAGAAATTTTAATTTATAGCTGATCAGAAATGGATTCCACAGAGCAGCATAAGGGTCTAAAACAGCAACAAATTTATGATAACTTAAGGAGAAAAAGGAGAAACATAATGGATAATATTTATCTGTAGCAGTAAAGATCCCAATGCAGACAATGAGAATTTTGTTGTTTTATTTAGTAGAAAAGACCCTGTATTTCTCCTGGAGCTCTCTGATATTTATTTCATAATTTCTGATATTTATTTCAAAAGTTCCAGACCTAGAGACTGGAATGTCGAACATATACAGTGTTTGACATATACAATACTGCATAAGTGATTTAACCTTTCTCTTTTTTTTTTCATTTAAATGAGAATTAGGTCATAGGCATTAAGATGTGGCCAATTTTAGCATTCTGTATTTGAAGGAAAGAAATGTTAGGGCATGGAGCTGTGATGATAGTCTTAACAATAAGAAAAAATCACATGCACATTGGTGACTTGGATAGTCATTGCTCGAGCATTAGTATCAGCAAGATACCACAAAGGGTCACAGAGTCAAAAGGAATCACACTTGTGAATGACAAGTGAAGGACACTTGTCCACACATGGATTGTCGTGAGCAATATTTGGCTGTGCTTATTTCAGTAAGTGACAGCAAAAGAATTACTGATAATCTTTGATGTAAGATGATGTAACAGGTATTGTTGCAATTGTAGTTTAAAATGGAAAAATGCTTTCTTACTACGATTTTGCATCTTACATTCGCTATATTATTGTCTCTAGACTGTTTCACTGTTGTTTTAAAAATACAATGATTATTTTCCAAAAGAAAACCACAGTTTTCATCAGCTTTTCTTTGCTTCCAAGTATCTAAGGCTATAGTTCCACACACAGCTAAACTAATATGAGTTCATTGCTGTCGAAAGAAAAAGATTTTGAGGCCCTTTTCTTCTCTCCCATCCTTCGTWGTACTTCAGTAATGTTTCTCTCTCCCTTGTCAGCATTATTTTAGCATTCTTGCACCTTTTTAAAAGCAAAGTTCACAGGACGGTAAGTATGTTGCTAATTAGGCAAAACCATTTCCACTTTTTTCTTTTTTACTGAGTTAGAGAGACAAATTTACTCACACAGCCCTAATCAGCATTAGAGCCAGTGCCAAGTTTGCATTTGGAATGGAGAGCAGAAGAGGTAGGAAAAGTTGGATCTGCCTCTTTTGGGAGATGATAAGCTATTAGATCATCCCTGCTTGTAGAATCACCTCTAAAACTCGCAAGACTCAGTATATTACTGGGGTCATTTTTATGGAAAAAAAGCTCATTACAATTATTTTTTCTTTAATTGTGGTATTTGAACTTTGGGAAGTTTTACGTAAGTTTACTTAATAAAACATAGGGACGACAAATTACAGTGTTTACTCATGTTAATTAATTACCAAAACTCCACAGAAATACTGAGATGTGACTCCAGAGCTTGTGTACCTGAAAAATTCTCTTGCTTTTCAAACTGATAAATAAATAACTGATTTTTAAAAATGTCTGATGACTTTATCTAGGATATTCAAAGGCTGTTTTTAAAACACATTCTTAATAATCTTGAAATCCTTTGTTGGTTATATCAACTTTCTTAGTCAAAATTTTAATTGGATTCTGACTTTATTAAAATCAGTAATGTATTGCTGATGTGAATGCCCTTCTCAGACTTGAGGTACAAGATCTTTCTTTTTTTTTAGCTTTCTGTATAAAATCATGCATAAAGATATTGTCTCATTTAAAATTAAAATTTTTATATTCATAATATGAGATTTCAGGATCCCAAACAAGTAGTCCAAAGGCCTAGAAGACAATTTTTTTAGTACATTTTTTTCCTAAAATGATCATTTTCTATTATTATCTAATTTAAAAATAACAGTAATTTGTATTCCAAATCTAAAGGCCTACATTTGCTGTACACCAGAAGCACAGTTTTCAACTACATTAAATTATTATTCATCTTCTTTTTGTGGGCAAAAGCAAATGCTTCAAATTTACAGAGATCTTTTCAAACCTTTGTTGAATAATTCAACCAAACAAAAAGTTTTTGCTCTTTCCTAAAAAAAAAAAACAGAAGGTCAACATATGCAGCTTTTAGGGTATAGTTTTGRTATACTTCCTGAACTTTATATCCCATCTTAGTGTACAACCATATTCGTATTTAGCCAGTCCTTATGCAAAATTAATCATGGGCTTAAAATTAGGCATATGCAGAATTTTATAAAATGAAGGTTCAGCTGTGCATTTTAGCCAATATTTCTTGAAGTATATATATTAACACATCTCATAAATGCTACAAATATTTTGGATTCTTCTGCCTTAGCTGCCTTCCTCCTCTCTGCCTCCCCCAGTTCAAAACATTGCATATTTTGCAGACAGAATGAAAATCCTGAAGTATTGACCTCTATAAGAACAAATCATAGATTTAGAACTGCCTTTATTTTTTCTAATGCACCAAGGAGTAGACAAGATAACAAGAGTAAAATGAACCATGATATACATCACATGCAAACAGAACAAAATTTTCACAATAAAACAGTGATACTGTGCGATTATAGTGGGTTAAAAATATCATTGTTTCATCTATTTCTCCTTTTTTATTTTCTTTCACAAGAGTCATCTGATTCATGCAAGCAAATATAGTTCAGCTAAGACTGTACAGATCTTCTCTGAACATATCTCAATATTAAAATCTTTTCATTTGCATTTGTTTTAGCAATACTTAGTAAAATATTCTTCTGAAATGAATTGCTTCATCAATCATATTTACAAATATATATATGACACACTAATGAACATTAGCCATTCAACTTATGCTGTATATTTTGATTATTTGAATGACCTTGAAACAAACAAACAAACACAAAACCAAACACAAACAGACCTTACTTTATCCATACCTTTAAATATTAACTGCTGACAAACGAACAACATTTCAGCCTCCTGCAGCAATGGGCATCCTCTAAGACACTACTACCTATCTAAAGTAATGCTTGAACTGGAAAACTGCTATTTTCCTACTTCATCTGCTTAAACTGCACAATAATCAATGACAGYTGGGTGCCGAATTAAACAGCCTCAAAAGATTCTACTGCCTCTGTGTTGTTTTCTTGAGTGGCTGCCACAGAACTCAGCTTGGACTGATTTGTGATACTAAATCATGTGGCCATTGGACCAGGCCACGCTGCCAGTGTAGCTATGGAGCCGTTTGCTATTAGGCTGCCTGCAGGCGTGTGGGCAGAAATGGTTTGGAAAGAGAGATTTAGCAGCAACAGCAAAGGCAACTGTTGCATGAGATCAGTCTCTCGTGTGAGATGTCACTAGGTGCAGTCCAACGCTTTACTGTGGTAAGTGGACATTACAACCACAAGACTGCAAATTATGATGGGAAGAAAGTATGTTCTGAGTCTTAGACCAGAGACGTGACTATTAGGACCTTCCAAAAATAGCATCTCTTCATATAACTCAAATTCTGAGACGCAGGCAACCAACATTTATTGTAGACATTCAGCTTTTGCTGGAAGGCTGATAAAAAGCAAAAAATTCAGGAATAAGTAAATTAAGCTGGTTTCTTCTTGAAATATAGCATTAAATATATGTGTTATATATAAATAATTATATACCGTTATAAGGCCTATCATTCCACTAGCATTATCTATGCAATAGCATATCTAGGCTATTTGTGCAACAAATATTAAAAAAAAAAAAAAAAGTGGAATAAAGAGTTTGTGTCTCAATACAGAGTAAAGGTTTTGAGAAGGTAGTCATTAAACCCCTGGATATAAACCAAATTTTGTATATTTTTGCAGAATTTCTCAGAGTTTTGCGGGTTACCTTTGAGGTCTTACCTGCTAAACCCTGAAGTTGTGTGACTTAGGTCATCTGAAGACCAGTCACATGGAACCATGGAATCTCTTTCTGATCGTTGGGCAGGTCTTACCGCCTAGTGCCTCTCCTTGCTTTACTGTTTATTGTACTGATTTAACACTGCTATGGGCAACACAACTGTAATTTCACACAACACAAATATTTCTTCTATACTTTAATATGTAAAAAATGTTGTTACCAACAAATTATATAGTTCCACTGAACTACAGTGTAGGCCTAATCCTATCGACTTCATTAAAAGCAGAATCAGTTCCAACATTGCAAAATCTCTCTTTTTGTGTTGAATTAACACATTTAAAATTGAGATCATGTTCTTGACATGAACAATTCAAATCACCYTTCAAATCTGATGTATTTTTTCTCAGGCATTTCACATTCATTTTCTGTAACCATCACTGCTTCCAGCAAAACCTTTTTCTAGTCCAATAAATAACACACACACAAAAAGTAATTCATGATAACCAAAATAATTAAATAGTAGGATCAGGTTAAAGATCAGCATTCATTTTTCAAATTAGATTTAAAAGTCTGCAGTAGTTACTTAGAAGATTGGTAAGTTTTACAAATAACATCACCAGGCCTTTTAGAGAGAAACACAGCCGCATTAGAATGGAGTCATTAGGCAATACATTTATTTTGAAGCCAATTAACCTTTTGTCAGAGAAATGTCGGGGCTGTAATGGTTTCGGCAGTGGAGGTCAGCCTCTAACAGGGGCACGTATGACAGCGATTATGCTGTCTGACATATGCTGTAGACTGAGAGTACAGCTGTGGAATGAGAATCTGCCTTCGTTTGTATTCTGCTCTGCATTTTCAGGGAGCGGGCAATCTTGACCTATCCATTTAGGTAATTAAAGCTTCTATTTGGAAGTGTCCTGCAGGAAGGTGAAATCTGGGGGAGATAAATGGCTGTTGCTCACTGTATCCAGCCACTTCCATCATTTGATGGACTGCCTGAAATAGGCTGCATTGCCAGGTCCTCATAAAAATAGAGATGAATTGGGCATGAGGCAATTCTCTAAGGCAAAGCAACTCTGTCATCTTCCTTTTTGCAGCATATAATTTAATTGTTAGTCAAGGTAGACAGCTGACTCAAGGGCCTTTCTCTAACAGCTTCCCCACCATCTTCCATTTGCTAAGAAATTACTTCAGTTTATTTACTTATAAGCCAACTTTGTTTGAGAATGAGAGATGTCACTTCAATAAGCTCATCTGGCTGTCACAGCTGTGTCCTGACTTACCTTCCAGGCTATTTTGTTTCCTTTCGTATCGTGCTCAAGGGCAATTGGGAAGTCTCCTCGCTCATAAAACTTGCGAAATGCTGTGGGCTTTGTTGGTCTCTCTTTAAATGCTCCTGCAACAGGAGGACCTCTTACCTTCAAAAAAAAAACACAAAAAAACATAATTTAGAGATAATACAGTTTTATAAAAAGCTTTATTTTTATAGCTCAAAATAGAAAGAGATAAGAAAACAGTATAGCATTGATCTCACAGATTATTTTCAGAAACTCCTTAATGGGAGTAACTTGTTGGAAATTTCAGATTGTCTGTCTCAGTTGCCCCAACATTTTTAAACAAGAATAAATCAGCAAGCACATAATATTCACTGTGTAATCACTTTATTCTTCTTTATTTGACAGAAGTTCTTAGAAAATTAAGCATTTCTCCTTGAGAAATATTTTTTCTAATTTAGCCTTTTGGCATAAATACATTCAAGGAGTAGAATAGAGTAGGTAGAACATCTCATAAGGGGATGAGAAGTATGTAAGAAGCTGAAGCAGTATCCAAAATCTCTCACGGGTAAACTGTCTTTTTAGCAGCGCAATTTTCATTCCCATTGAGTTCAAGGAGAATACTTGGTATTGAGACTGAATGACAAACATGGAAACGTTCCCCATTGAACTGCAGAGACTTCCACAACTTCTATTTGAGTGCAAGACAGATTTCACTGTTAGTATCATGTGTAAAATGCGACTTATTGCTTTTTGTAATTTCTTTCTTAAGGTGCAAGGAAGGGTGATTATTAAGAGAAAAGAAGACAAGTTATCTGGCAAGCTATGGCAGGTGCTTTGAAATCTGAAGAATTCTCCCTCTATTTATGGCACAGTACTTACTGTATTCACCAGTTTATTAATGTCAGCCAAGAGAGCTTGATTCTCTCTTCTAACATTCATATAACTATGTGCAGTTCTACTAAAATGACAATGGATTAAGTCTGGTGTAAAATGAAAATCTTTTGCAATTTTCAAGAGTAAGACCTTGCCTGCGACAGAGAATTAATCAGTATATCTCTTAAGGAATAAAATGCATTGATCTACAAAAACAATCTGGCCATTTATGGCTTCTTACTACTCTGTCCTTTCCACACTAATCTTCCACAGAATACTAAATACCTCCATCTGAACCAGGGCCTGCATCTAGAGTATCTTTTCTTTCAGAATCGCTTCCTTCTCCTTTGGCCTGACACAATGGCACAATTAACAACAACATTTACACTGTCTAAGTCTCTCAGCTTCTAATCCATTCAACTTGTTCCCTTTTTTACAGTCTTCTTTTCCTATGGTACTTAATGCTTCTGTCTCTTTCTCCGTTCCATGCTGCCAATCTCATTTCACCCAGTCAGCCTTCTCCTCTGCTGAGGCCATTTCTGAGGCTCTTTCTCTCCACTCTTCCAAGTTACCCATAGTTATCTTCAGCTGCTCTCTTCTTCCCTTGCAATAGCTTATTTAATCTCCTTGTTTTCCTGCCATCTCAGTTAAGTCTGTTCGTTTGGCTTGGTTTCTGTCTGATCTAACTATCCTCTCTGACTGTTCCTATGTCTCTCTCTGGCCATTTCCTAGTCTTCGGCACCAGGTCACTTCCTCAGATGAGTCTGGCCTTTAGATACTTCAGTGCTTCACTATTGATGACTGAAGCTCTGGAAGAAATGTAGAGAAGTCTCTTCTCAGACATCTCCTCTTTGGAAGAAATCAGAGGAAGAAATTTAATTCAGATCTGCCTGTTTTCCTATCTGAATAATGGTTGATGAGCATACTTTGTAGCCCATTACAAAAAAACTCATTTTGGATTTTTTTTTTCTCAGCCAGATATAGCAGTAACAGCAACTAGCAATTTACATGAACATATATACAAAATTTGAAGTACTTGTGAGAGATCTGCTGCTTAAGCTAATTACCAAAGTTAATCTCAAATGCTGCAAGAGACTAGAGAGCTAAGCAAATCTCAAAGGCCCTCAACTTCTGACTCTTTTCTACAGCTTTTTGCCTACTTTTCCATTTTTATGTCCATTCACTTTGGATAAGAACTTTATGGAATTATCTGCATATCTCCTTTGTAAAAAATGCCTTTATGACTTGCTTCCTATTATAAAAATATAAAGTCTTTTTTAAAAAATATATGTACTTATTGTTTTGGCAAGGAACAATTGTTCTATGCCACCAATGTAAGATTGTTCACTTAATTTGTCTTTACTTTTTTTTTTTTTTTTTGTATTTGAGACAAACCTATGAATAACTGTTCACTGGAGGCCACTATAAATGCATCTATATTCTTTTCATACATTTTTCAACATCAACAGGACATGTTTTTCTATGAAATATTAAGAATGCCTGTTCTGTTATCTTAGATCTATAGTCTATCTTAAATAATTGATAAGAAATGTTGTCCTTAGCACATGAACTTAGTTATGTCTTGCAGTCTCAAATTAGCAGTTGCTAACACAATCCCACACTATATCTTATCTGAAACCAGGTTTTAATCTTCCAAACTCATGTTAGTAATTTTAAAATGAACTTTTTTCTAGTGTACCTTTGTGAAATTTCTAGAAATAGGGTTGTGCTAATTGAATTTCCAACCACTCTTCATTTGAGAAGAAAGAAACCAGGAAGACTCGAAGGAACTTCGTTATTTAGTTCATTTCTCTTTCATTCCACACAATTGTATCATATCAATTTCATAAATTTATTAGTAATTTATTTTTCCCTTTAATGTTGAAAGACTGTTGTACATCAACCTTACTTTGACAGTTAGAAACTACATCTCAAATAGTATGCCTACTCTGATCTTTCACCTAAAAAGAAGAACAGTAGAATTAGAAAAATTTCAGAGAGGAATAACAGAAATGACTGTAGGTATAGGATGGGTTTTATACAAGAAATAAATAAACTAGAATTCTTCAGCCTGAAAAAGTGACTATAAAATCATGATTTCATAGACAGAATGGATAAGGACTGATTTTTCACTGTCTCAGTAAACATAGAAGGTTTAAAAAAATAGTAAGTGAAAAGTTTGGAACAAACAAAAGCAGTTGTTTATTGTATCTTATTATGTTATTATGTATGTTATTAGTATTTTAATTGTCAAGCAATTAAAAGTGGATTTGTAGAATTCCTTGCCAAAGTTCAGTGTTGTATATTCTAAAATTATGTTCATTCAAGGTATGATGGAAGAGAAACCTATTCAGGTTTACTCAAACCACATTATCAGTGATCATAAATACAATTAACTCTAGGTACGGTCTATCTAACGGAACTTGTAGCATTACATCTAGTCTCACATTGCAACGTCACACTGGCATCACATAGTCATCTTTGTTAAACTATATCTGAAGTATCTTTCCCAATAGATGAGCCCCATGTTAATAACAGAATTTCTTGTCATTCATTCTAAGTGCATAACCTTGTACTTTGTACTATTATATTTAATTTCATTTCTATTATACCAGTTCTCAGGGGCTTCTACTTCCATTTGTGTGACACTGTGATCKTCATCTGTATTAATAACACCTCCAAACTACATGACAACCATAAATTTCATGTTACAATCTTTTTTTTTTTACCAAGGTCATTAATGAAAATGTAAAATAAGAGCAGCGCTAAAACACATTCTTAAGGAGATCCATTAATAACTTTCCTCTATTACCATATTTTCCCTTTCAACATCACATGCTATTGTCTCCTCTTCAATATGGAGTTTCTGAACCACATAACCCACCTCATAATTCTTGTATTGTAAATCTAGTAAAGTAGGGACATTCCGAATGGTTGACATTACAAATGGCCCTAAATAGAGGGATCTATATGTATTCTTTTTTTTTAAAAAAAAAGAAAGGTTATCTTGTCACTTTGGCCTGTAAGAGGAGTACAGACCATTTAACTGTGAGGAAGAGCAACTGACCTCAAAGTAATGAAACAATATAAGAAAGAATGAGTCTGAGGTCTGCTTAGAATAAAGAAATGTCTGCACTCTGGAAAAGAATAAAACTATCTCTGAAATTAGGAAATTGGACCTCATGTGATTGAAATGTTGCTAAACTTTAAGTTCGCTTCAGTGAGCCAATTTCTTAGCACCTTTTAAAAACAGATCAAGCTATTTGCTGAAGTGGCTGCACTGAGCTAATACCCTTTACCTTTTGCAGATAGCTTTCTTTCTTTACTAACTTTCCTACTAGGAAGATCATCATTATATTTAGTATTCAGATATGAACATCATTCTTAAATGTAGACCTCTTTTGACATCATTTTAACCATATATCTTGCTGAATCATTGTTCAAGAATTAGATAATATATGGCCTTCCCTATCCATCCACAGAATTTATCTTTCTTCCAGGGTCTCAGCATCTCAAGAACTAACTACCAGGATATTCTTTTCTCTCACCTAGATCAAATACACAGCTRCAGAAAACATTCTCTTACATCACTATAACTGTATAACTTATATTACTGTAGCTCTCTCCTAACTTACATTACTGTATCACTCTCCTAATAACAATTTCCTCCTATCTACATAATCTCTACAGTTGCATTTAACATTCTTGCCTTCTGCTGCCCAGAGATGTCAGCTGCTTTTATTCACCTATAACATTTTCAAACAAARATCATCATCATCATCACTGTGCTGTTTCTATGTTGATCAGCAGATATGAAACTACTGAATTTTCAACCTTCAAAACTTTTACTAAACTTTTCTTTACCAAGGTAAGAATTATCCTGTAGCTGCACTGATAACATTGTCCGCTATTGTTAGGTAGGATTAGGATGCTGGTACTTTTTTTTTTTTTTTTTAATCCTGAATATATCTGCATTTCTTTTATTTATCTGTTTTTCCCATCATTAGATTACCCCCTTTTGGAGACCAGATTTTGTTGTTATTGTTGTTGTTCTTTGTTTGCAGACCTGCACAACAAAGGAATTCCAGTCATGGATTAGGCATAATTGTTATAAAAAAGTAATTAAAAAGCAACAATTTAATTATGGAATGGAGCATCCATCACAGTGAGCTTTTTCAATCTCTCCAGGTTGACAAAGTCAACTTTTCCTGCTTTTTGCTTTTCCAGTAGGACAGATTCTTCTCACAACAGAATAATTTTGAATCGTC